CACACACACACACACACACACACACACACACACACACACACACACTCCTATTACAGTTGGTTCTGCTTCTGTTTGAGTGTGTGCACAGAAAATGTCTACTCTAATCAGAACCCTTTCATGCGTTCCCTGCTCAGTCATCACTTTTATATCATTAATCTCTCTGTCTTTATCTCCAGCATCTAGTATTTGTGTAGATTTCTTGATCACAGTAATGTTTTTATCCTCATTAATACATTAATAGAATATTTAAAACTTTAATTGTGCAAAAAAAAATTTGCCGGACTCCTGGTAATCTGTTGTTGGCGCATTTTGTCAAATTATTTTAAAGAATAGTCTCAGTTTAATGTGAAGAAGGTATTTCTTAAGACATGTCCTTCCTTTTTTTTACCACAATGGATGACTTGACGGCGACTAGACTCATTAGCATTCACATTTAAATGGTTAGAAGTTAGAAAATGTGCTCAGAAATAGTGATCTCAGTGTTTTCACTTGCCTGACAAATGTGCAGGTGGTATAGGCTCATTTGTAATCCTGATCATGCACGCACTGCCAATTATGTGGCAGAAGTGCATACATAAAGGTCATTAGATTCAGCTAACATTAACAAATTAGAATGCATTTCAAATGTATATGAAGTATCTTACTGAATTATGTTGCAAAGGGCTTTGCCAGGTTCTTTGAAAGTGCTGATAATCATGGTAACTTTATGTATTCACTAATAGTATTTGCTGTAATTGGTGAAAAAAAGCAACACAAAGAGAACACTAACTGAGAAAACAACTCTAAAACTGTGATGAGCTATACCTTGAAGCAGATGGGCTACTAACCAGTCTGGATTCCACTCCTGCCAGCTAAAATAAGAAAATCTCTGCATGGAGCACAGCCTAGTTTGGACGACAGTAATAATAATCATTTTTAAAAGCCTGTTCTTTTAAATCTCAAATTCTTATTAGACTACAGATGGTAGGGTCAGACTTTGGCTTCAAAAGCACGAGTCTATGGTACCACACTGCCAACAGTCCAGGTTGTCCATGGTGGTATGAGGGTGAATGTTTTTTGGCACAGTTTTAATGGTTCTGAACAGCAATTAATGATTGTTTCATGGCTTTAACTCACACATTTTGTAATGGCCTTTTCAGAGCATGGTAATGTACCGTGTCATTACATTAAAATCCTTATAAACTGTTTTTTATGAATGTGAAGTGATTTCTGTGTTCTGTGGTAGGAGTGGGAGATAAAATCTATTTTTAGATGCACCAGGTCACAGATGTGAAATATTCCAAATCCAAATGTCAAAAATCTATTTTGTAAACGTTAATCTGTGCTGTCACTTTGTAAGAATCAGCTGAGTACGGTTCTTGCTGTTTATTCTAGTTACCAATGCTTCCAGTAGTAGAAACATGTTAAAGCTAAGAGTATGTCTGTAAGTAATAACTGAAGACATCATAACATGATTGTCTTTATTACTGACTTTAAAACATTTGATTTGTGTAAACATTTTCAGTAATAAATACAATGCTGATTGGGTAAGCTTTTTAATGGTGTTTTTAGTGTTAAGTTAGCATCTACGTTAATTGTTAAACGGCACCCTGCAACTGTTGTTATAATAATTATTATTATTTCACATACAGTTTAGTGTACTCCTTTTTTGGTATGAAAATGTCTTAAAAAAATGGTTTATTTGTATAGAATAAGCCATTGTCATTTGAGTTTTAGGAATATTATAATTAATCAATAATAAAGTGGTATCAAAGTTTCAGTTCAGAGTTTTCACTTGCAAATAAAATATTATAGTTAAAGAAAAAAGTTAAAATTGTGTGGAAACGACATTACAGTAGTCCCTCATTTATCGCGGGGTATCCGTACCCTGAAGCCCCGCGATAAGTGAAAAACTGTGAAGTAGAGATACAGTATTCCAAGTTCAAATATATTAAACTTTATATTAAGGCTTTAGAAACCGTTCCCACACTCTTGGAATGTTCTAAACTCTTAAATCTATGTCATTTAACAACATATATTATAAATTTTACTTACTAGCTCTGCTGAACAGCAACAGCTCTGGTTCCATTCCAACTCAGTTCTATTCCGACTTGGCTCGTTTCTAAGACCTATCTTGCAGTAATGAAGCCCACAATCAATCCTCTAAACTATTAAACCTACTAATTTTTACAACATTCAGTACTTATATGTACAGGAGCTCCAAAATTTCTTATAAGGGCTCTGCAGAACAGGAGTGGCTCGGTTCCGTCTGACCCGATAGATGAAAAAAGTCCAGTTGCATCATGACTGAAGCCCACCGCTGCTGCTCGAGGAGCAAGGTTGCCCAGGATTTAATTAACCACCTCTGGTTCGGTCCGGACCAACACCACACGACCAGAACCAGGCTGAAGCCTGCAGCCGTCTGTTCCCTGCAGCTCCCAGGATCCGAGTCACACTTAAGGTTCAGATCAACTGCCGCCCAGCTGCTCAGCAGTGAAGATACAACTTAAAGGATGAGTTCAGCTTCAGAATTATTTGATACTTTCCTCCTGCCAGTTCCATGCGCTTATTATCGTTACTTCTGATTTTGGTTGCAAAACTTTCCCTCCGTTTGCAGCAAGCAGCAGTTGGAAGCAGTGTTGACTTCTGGGAAGTGAACTGTTGGCTTCTGTGTAACATGGTTCTTTAGACTGGCAAAACAGTGAAGGCTTAATGAAAGAAAACTACAAAATGGCAGCACTTTTTTTGTAGGGGGAAAATATTATGTACAGTACTGTACT